ACTTATCTCTACCCACATCCATACAAAAGGAAAGGAGATGTGCTACTTGAATTTGCTGACACTTGTGGCCCCACTTCTTGGGCCTGCCCTTTTGAGTGGTGGCATTTCATGTAAAGCCACATGATTGAATTCATGATAAGCAGAAGCTATATCTAACTGGACTCGGAAAGCATACAGCCCCAACAGAGATAGGGGCCTGTGAACATTGTGTGAATTTTTAAATTTTCACATGTCGTGTTGACTTCTGAAGTTATGTTACCTACCAGGAAGTTTGAGATCTCAGTATTTGGGTCCTGCTTCCCATGAGGTAGTCTGCCTGATTAGGACAGGGAAAGTATGGCTCTTTCTCACTTGATCATGACGACTTCCCCCGATGTATCTCAAGCAGTGTAAACCCAAGGCTGAGCTGCCAGAATTCTTATTCTCTGTGGAACACCTGAGAGGCAGGTCTACTTTGCTCTTGTTTTAAATCAGTGGGAACTGAGACCCAGGGGCTTAGTCTCATCATTTCCCAGCCTGAGGCTGCAGGGGGCACTGATCCTCCTCTGGTGACTCCTGTGAGGCATGAGCTCTGGTTGGTAGGTTGGCCTTACCGCTTTCCACCTGGCTGGCTGGGACACCTGCATGCGCTGAGGGCTGTTCTCAGTGCACTGTTTGCATCTCTGTAGTAGAACTGAAAAAGGAACTGGTGAGAAGGGCAAAGCCACAGAAACACGGGGCTGAGTATGTTTTGTGAGCATGTGCTTCTTTTGTGTGATGATTACAATTCTACTTTGAAAGCAAAGGGAATGTTGCTATGAAGCACATGGCATTTTATAGGTGCTCTCACATAGGTCTGGTCTTTGTTTGAGGCAAGCAAAATGGGAGGTACTGGGATTCAAGGATGGAGAAGGTGTGACCTCTGTCCTTGGACCTCAGCTGCCCTGAACAAGTCCCAGCATGGATGAGGACTGTCTGCACACCAGTCAGTGCACATTCTTGAAGACACACTGGTGTTAGGAGGCTGGACTGTACAATGTATGTCTTAGTATGAGAGGGCACTCTGAATGGAAAGGTATCTGAAGCCATTGTGGGGGACATATGATTGGAGAAAATTGGAGGTATCAGTGAAGAGAAGAATTGTACATGGATTGAGCTGGATGGACCCTTGGAAAGGGACAAGGTCACTAAGCAACCAAGTGTAGAAGGAGAAAATTAGGAGAAAGCAGAAATATGAGGGAGTGCTGAGTGTCAAGGGACATCTCTTCTGAAGAGTCTGAAGGGGATGTGGAGAGGTGAGAGTCCTGCTTTGTAAGCCAGGGAAGGAAAGGTAGCTAAAGGAAGTAGGATGAAGAAAAGCTTCAGGCAAATGACAATTGAAAGCATTCAAAGGCAACAGAGGGACATTTAACATGGAGACAGCAACACTGTCCTTGCTGCCACCATCCACCAAAGAGGCACTCATCTCTAATAGGTCTTGCCTCCTCTGGTCTGTTCATACAAGTCCAGCCTCTACATGCAAAGCCATTTGACTTTCCAGTTGCCTAATATTCCTGATGATCCCCCATTGTCTGCAGGATAAACCCCCAAGTTCACAACAGTTCTTCATGGACTGGTACTAGACTCTACTCCAGCTTTACCTTTGTTCTCTCCAATTCTCCAACCATGCATGGATGAATATTCGTAGTTTTGCATTGCTCTTCTGCTTTCTTAGAATGCTCTCCCTTCTGTATATAACATTATTCTACTCATCCTTCAATATCCAACTCACAAGCTTCTCAGATTTGCAAGGGATGATTGTGTAATACACCTGCTCAATAGGGGAGTCTTTTGTTTTGTATTATTTCAGACCACTTGCCCAAATTGCTCCCTCCTGTGGCATGGCTAACATACATAATGTGACTGAATTCACTTTTATGGGACTTTCTCTCAATCAGGAGGTGCAGAAAGCATGCTTTGTGCTATTTCTGCTCTTGTACAAAGCAATAGTGCTGTGGAATTTCCTCACTGTGCTCACTGTCACGACCAGTAGAAGCCTTGGTTCCTCCATGTACTTCTTCCTCAGCTGCCTGCCCTTTGTGGAGATCTTGTTACTCCTCTACTACAACCTCCAAACTCATCTCAGATTTGCTGGCTGAAAGGAAATCCATTTCTCTGTGGGGCTGCATAACACAGCTTTTCTTTATCCACTTCTTTGGTGGCACTGAGATGTTCCTGCTCAGAGGGATGGCCTACGACCACCGTGTGGCCATCTGTGAGCCCCTGCACTGCACGAGCTTCATGAACTGGTATGTGTGTGCTCTCATGGTGGAATGGCATGGGTGGGGGCTTTGTGCATCCTTCTGGCCAGATCCTTTCAATCCTCCACTCGCCTTTCTGTGGCCCCAGTGTGATGGACCACTGCTTCTGGGACCTGCTTTCCCTGCTCTGATACCTTCCTCGCTGGTTGCTGATTGTTGCTAATGGAGGGACCTTGTCTGTGATCAGCTTCTTTGTCCTCCTGGCCTTCTATGTGGTCATCCTGCTCTATCCAAGGATGCGAAGCTCTGATGGATGGAGAAAGGCCCTCTCTTCCCGTGGGTCCCATGTCGCCATGGTTACCTTGTTCTTTGGGCCCTGCACCTTCATCTGCCTGAGGCCTTCTACTACCATGTCTGTGGACGAGATGGTGGCCATGTTCTATGCAGCAATCACTCCACTTCTCAACCCTACCATCTGCTACCTGAGAAATGCCAAAGTGAAGAAGGCCATGAAGAGGCTGTGGGTCAGGACAATGAAGCTAGATGAGAAATGGAGGCTGGGGTCTTGGTACTGATGCTTAGCTTTAGAATGATGCTGAGTCCAAACTGAAGGGGCAGAATGGGATAAAGGAAAGTTCATAGGATTTGTTAGTTCAATAGTTATTCTGATTTTCATCTTCAAAAACTTTATTTTAATCACTTGTAAAATATATCCCATTTTCTATTAGATGTTTTCATCATTTCTAATTTTGACTACTATGAATAACACTGTGGAAAGTATTCTTGATAAAAATGTTTATACTTGTAATTTTCTGTTAGACCTACTTGCCATAGTAAATTTACTGTGTTAAAAAGTTTTAATACATTTGTTGTTAATTGATTGGTTAAGTCAAAAAGGTTGTAACAATTTATTTTCCTTGTGTATTTGCTCTTCATAGAATCAAACACTGTCATTAAAATTTTTCTTGATGGAAAGTAAGATTTTATATAGTCTCAGATTATCTCTTCGCAACATACTTATTAATGCATATGGAAAATTGTAACTATATAATTGAGAAATTGGAAGACACTCCCTTAAATAATTACTCAGTTATCAATATGGAGCTGTAGAGGTACACAATATCATTAATATTGTATTCCTAACAAAAATGTATAACCTAAGTCTAATCATCACAAAATATCAGGCAAAACACAAGTGAAGAACATACTGCTGAATTCTTTAAAAGATAGAGAAAGAATGATTATCTTTTCCAGATTATAGGTAGATGACAACTAAATTCAACCTGTAATCCTTGTTTGAATCCTATGTAAGATGAAGATTATTAGTGGGACAAAGTCTTTGTAGATGAGATAATAAAATTTTATCAAAGTTAATTCTTATATTTGATAATTTTGCTGTCAGAGAATGTCCTTGTATTTAGGAATTGCTTTTGTATCTAGAGTTAAAGGGGCATCATATAGGCAAAATTCAGTATTTCAGAAAAGTTCTGATTATACACTCATCTATTGATAGAATAAATACTAAAGAAAATGTCAAAATATAATTAGGGAATTAAGGGTGCACAATAATTCTTTTATTACTGCAATGTTTTTGGAAGTCAAATTATTTTAAAATTTAAAGTTAAAATATTTTTGCAAATAAGACATCTTATTTTTAATTAATTATTTTTGCAAGGAGGGCTGGTTTAATGTTCAGTTAGCTTTCAGTCTACAAAGTCTTCAAAGTTTAAAAGCTTTACATTTTTTCTATACTTTTATTGAGATACAATCAACATTCATCACTGTATAAGGTGGACAGCATTATCATTTTACTTGCATGTTTTGAAATAATTGCCACAAGTTAGCATTCATTGTCTCAGAAAGATACAAAAAATGGAAAACAGAAAAACAAATGATTTTTCCTTGTATGAGAACTTAATATTTACCCTCTTTACAACTTTCAGCTATATCATAGAGCAGTGTTAACTATGTTATCATGTTGTACATGACATCTTTAGTACTTCTTTTCTTATAAATGTTAGTTTGTACATTTTAACCACCTTAATCCTATTACCGCAGTCTGGTAACACAAATCTGATATCTTTTTTCTAGGAGTTTCAATTTTGTTTTTGTATTTTAGATTTCACATGTAAGTGAGATCATATAGTATTTGTCTTTGTTTGACTATTTCATTTAGTACAATGTCCTCAAAGTCTATTCATGTTGTCATAAATGGCAAGAAATGGAAATGAAGAAAAACCAAGGACTTTGTTTTTATATAGTTAATTATAATTATTTTCCTTAATGCTTTTAGAATACCTGGGGCCACACTGTTTCTCATTTTGAAAGCTTTAAGGAATATTTTAATATGTTGCTAGCTAGTCTCTTCACATTGCTCTTCTTTTTCAAAATTCTTCAGGGTATTGTTTTTCCATATGAGCTTTAGATTTAGTTTTCTCTTCCTGCTCCATATAGCCCCCAAATAACCTATTATTTTGATTAATGTCATACAAATGTGTTTAAAAGAATCAACATCATAATGTAAATCTTCTCATCCAAAGCCCTGGTATGTCTTTCCATTTGCTGACATACTCTTTTATGTTCTTCAGTAGAGTTTTAAATTTAAAATGTATCTTTAAAAATTTATTTTATTTTCCAACTTTATTGAGGTATAATTGACGTATAACATTATGTCAGTCTCAGGTGTATAACATGATGATATGATACAAGAATATATTGCAAAATAATTAACATTATAAGGTTAGTTCACATCTCCATGCCATTTTTGGTGGAACATTTAAAATAGTCTTAGTAAATTTCAAGTATATAATACAGTATTATTAACTATGTTAGCATTCTGTACATGATTTCCCCAGAACTTATTCACTTTGTAACTGAAAGTTTGTAAACTTTGACTAATATCTCCTCATGTCCCTTATTCCCCAGCTCCTGGCAACCATAAATTTCCATTTCTATGAGTTTGGCTTCAGATTCCACATATAAGTGAGATCATACAGTATTGATCTTACTCTGTCTGAATATTTTCACTTAGCATAATGTCTTCATGGTCTATACATGTGGTTTGCCATTTAATCCTGCCTTATTTAATGGCAGGATTAAATAAGGATATTTATTTAATATATATATTAATTAAGGATATTTTTTATGGCTGAATAATAAATGTCGCATGACTTTCATGTTACTAATTAGCAACCTTTTTTTCAAGTTGAAGAACTTTAGCATTTCTTGCAAGGTATGTATAGTGGTAATGAACTCTGTCAGCTTGTCTGCTTGAAGCAAATCTTTGGAAAGTGAGTATCTTGCTTTCATTTCAGAAGACAACTTTGCTAGGTAAAGTATTCTTGGTTGGCAGTTTTTTTCTTACAGGATTTTGAATATATTATCCCACTTTCTTTTGGCTTGCAAAGTTTCTGCTGAGAAATCTGCCGATAACCTTATGGAGGTCCCTTATGAAGGATGTTTTTTCCTCTTACTGCTTTTAAAATTTTGTCTTTGATTTTGGATAGCTGTATTACACTGTGTCATGGAGAATGTTGTTTTGCACTGAAATTTTGGGGTGAGTTTCAGGGACTTGGATGTTCAAACATCTCCCCAGATTTGTGAGGTTCTCAACCATTATTTCTCTAAGTAAGCTTTCTGCCCCCTTCTCCCTCTCTTCTACTTCTGGAATCCAGTAACTCATAGATTTATTCTCTTGATGGTGTCCCATGGTTCACATAGGCTTTTTTGCTCTTTTTCATTCTTTTTTTGCTTTTTTCTCCTATAGAATAATTTCAAATATCCTATCTTCTACTTTACAGATTTGTTGTTGTGCTTATGATCTCTTCTGAATTTTTCATTTCATCCATTATAATGTTCATTCATTATATTCTTCAGCTCCAGGAGATGAATATCAATGATTTCTATGTCTTTGTTGAATTATTACTTATTTTGTGAATTATTTTTCTGATTACACTTAATTGTCTTTTTGTATTTTCTTGTAACTCATTGAGATTTCTAAAAACAGTTGTTTTAAATTATTTTCTGGAGGTAAATCACAGATTTCCATTTCTTTAGGGTCAGTTTTTAGGAAATTATTGTGTGTTTTTTTGGTGTGGTCATATTTTCTTGATTTTTCATGTTCCTTGAAGTTTTGTGTTGCTGTCTTCATACTTGAGGTAACAGTAATTTCCTCCACATTTTATAACACAATTTGGGAGAGAAAAAATTTCCATTAGCTCTGCTAGGAATTCTGAGGCTTTCTTAGGCCTTTTTGATAGGTATACATACCTCATACTTCTTGCTCCTCTTGTGGCAAAATTCTTAAGCTTGTATGCTTTCTCTCAATTCTGCAAAGCCAGACCAACTGATGATAGCCTCCCCTTTGCTTTCTGTAGGCCAGTGCTGAATGCTCAGTTTCATGGTATCTCCCAATCAGGCCTGCAGCTTTGGGCCAACTTTCTGCATGTGCCCACTAGCTGTCTGCAAAAGCTCCCTCTTGTTACCATCCATCAGGAGCACACTTTCTAGCCATCGGGTGGAGTTGTATGTTGATGGCACTTGGAACTCTGGGGTGACTCTGGACCATCTGGAGTGATCCCCAGGGGAAGCATCCCTAGTGGCCTGTGGACAGGCACCCTGATAGAGTCTGTGTTATGGTTTGTAGGATCCACATCACTTTCATAGGTTTCCTTATGAACCCTGGCTGCTGTTCTTTCAGTTGTTTTTGAACCCTCAGTCCTATGACTAACAACTTAGTACTTAGTACGGTGAAAGAACAATGGATTTCTGGAATTTCTTGCTTACTCACACTCTCTCACTTTCCCTCGTTGGGCTAAGAAGATCTATCTTGGCACAGAGCTCTGCCACCTTAGGGAATGGGTGATATGGGTAACATCAAACTGTTCCTCTTACTCTCTCCAAAGTGTCCCATCTTGGATTTTTTTTCTTCCATCAGTGTGCTATAACTTCTCTACTGGATGCCTGTACTTCCACAAAGGCTCTTTCATCCATGGGTGATTGTCTAAAGTAATGTTCTCCATGGGCTCCTGAACCACAGCTGAGAGGGCCTGCAGTTGATTCATGGGCCACTTCAGATTTCACAATTAGGTCTGAATTCTGTATGCTTATTACCTGATGCATGAATGGGCAAGATTCCTCCTGGGTTCTTTGGTATATGGTGCTAGTGACAGAACCAAACAGGACTGTAGCCAAGTCCTCTGGGTTACAGAGCTGTTTCTGGGTCTGTAGCAGGCACCATGGTCAATGAGTCAGTTATAACCTTCAAATTTTATGTATCCTTGTATTTTAGGTGTGTCTCTTGTAAATAGCATTTGGGATAAAAGAATTGCAATTTGAGGTACACAGATTTGGGCAGCAACCCAAATAATGTCCCACTCGGGAGCAAAAGTCAGGGGTTTCTAAAGCAAAAAGGGAATGCTTGTATAGGTTGTTACAAAATTTTTTGATTAGTGCTTGTGGCAGAGACCAATCTTGGCTAAGCATAGTTAGTTGCAAAGGCCATCACCAAGCAAAAGTCTGGTGCTCTAACAAGTTGCAGGTGTTCTTTCAGAATTCTTGGAATTTTGAAATTTGG